ACCAGCCAATCCTCAGAAACCCTATACAAGAACCAACTTGACAGTACTTAACAACAATATATATAATATATATATATATATCACATCTGCTGTGGGACCATGTAAAGTAAATTTACAGGACTTGGGTTTTAATAAGCCATCTCAGAAGCAGAAACAAAGATTCTCACGACCACCAAGACAGAAAGAAGCACAACATTTGGACCCTGAGATTTCTCTGTGAAGAAGCAGAGGCAGTAAAACCAGAGCATGAGGCAGAAGGATGGGTTCCCCAGCCGGTGGTGCAGTAAAGCTGAGAGTTCTGCTGGGGTCTTTATCACCAGCACTAAAAGGAGTTCTGTAACACCTGCTCAAGTAGGGCAGTGGTCAAGGGGCCCCATGGCTGACAGTTCGAGGAGGAGAGAGAGATGTGGTACAGATGAGAAAAGGTGCTCCTGACTGGAGACTACTAGATCCTGGGTGGGTTTTGACCCTGAAATGTACCCTGTTTATTTCTTTAAGAAATCTCATCATTGTGAGAATTAATTGTTTGTAAGTTCTGTGTGACCATTGCAATGGGTTACCGAACCTAGCAGAGAAATCGAGTGTCATGGGGGGAATGGCTGGTATCAGAATAGAATAAAGAAGGCTGAAGTTGTGAAGGTATGTCTGACTTCTGCCTCATAGGAATGGGCCATGGACTCATGTGAAGTTTGATTTTCCTTTCCCCAGACACTGACTCCATGCCATTTTTGTAGGAACTATGATAGCTCCTCTACTTACTTCAAACCCGAATCAGTGCTATTCATAATCTCTACAAAGTGTGTGCTAAAATAACTGAGTCATAAAGGAAAATGAAGTCCTGATACATGCTACAGCTCTGCATGAAACTTTAAAACATGGTGAGTGGAATGTCAGTCACAAAAATAGTTTAAAGAAACAGAAAACCACAAAAGCAGGCAAGGGTATAGAGAGCTAGGGACCTCCTACATTGTGACAATTTTGGAAAACGGTATGGCCTGTCCTCAAAAAGTTGGAAAGAGCAATACTGTATGATCCAGCAGTCTCTCTACTTGGTATATATCCCCAAGAAATACAAGCCAGGACGCAAGAAGATATATGCACACCAATGTTCATAGCAGCACTATTTACAATAGCAGAAGCTGGAGACGCCTAAATACCCACCAATGGAAAAATGAATAAACAAACTTTGGTACATTCACACAATGGAATATTATGTAATGATGAAGAATAATAATGAATCTGTGAGACACCTCATAACATGGATGAACCTGAAGAACATTATGCTGAGTGAAATTCATGAATCACAAAATGAAAAATATTATAAGAGACCACTACTGTAAAAACTTTTTTTAAAAAAAGCTTTTTATGCTGAAAGAAACATTCTTTGATAGTTACCAGGGGTGGGAGGACAGGGAGAGTAATTCACTGGCTAGAGGGTAGACACATTTAGTTAACTTGGGTGGTGAGGAAGATAATATACAACAAGAAGGAGATTGGCAGAAGAATAATGAAGACACAGGGAGGAATGCAAGGTTAAAGGGGATATAGGCAAATACTGTTATAGGACAACCCTGTAGCAACAGTGTTCTACAAATAGGCACATGGACAGATACAAAGAATGAATGGGTATGGGAGAGAGAGTGGGTGCATACCTACAAATACATAAAGTTTTTTAAAGAGGGTCTTTGTACATGGGTATTTACCTTTGCTGCCAACATGCCTATGGATGTAGTAGACCACAGAGGGGACAAAATGATGAAAACTTCTTGGACATTACCAAACACCTTAAGGCAATGAGTTCCTGGGCTTGAAGTCTTAGGACTGTGGTCTCGGGGGACACACCATGGTCAACTGGCATAACATAGTCCATAAAGACAATGTTCTACATCCTACTTTGGTGAGTGATGACTGGGATCTTAAAAGCTCACGAGTCGCCATCTAAGGTGCAACTATTGGGCTCTCCATGTGTGGAAGAAAGAAGAGTAATGCGAATTGAAGATGCTTGGAGTCAATTAGCCCGATGGTCCAATGGAACATGTCAACATCAGTCTCCACAACTCTGAGGTCGGAAGAACTAGATGGTACCTAGTTACCATTACCCATGGCTCTGAAAGGGATCACATTAGAAGGTCCCAGACAGAGTGGGAAACAATGTGGAACAGAGCTCAAAATTATATATATATAAAAAGGCAGAGTTTATTGGTCAGAAATAGAACGGAGAAGCCTGAGACTATGGTCCTCTACCAACCTTCAGGTCTGGAATGAATAAGCACTGGATTAAAAGATCGGTTTGAACCTCAAGTTCATCAGTTGAAACTCACCAGCTGCTCCTCAGAAACCCAATACAGGATCAGTGTGAATTGACTCGGTGGCCCTTAACAACAGTAGATTTATAATGGGGACAGCAACACTAGTGAAGTAAGATCGGCATAGAATGGTCAACCAGTCAAGATCCTAAGGGCAACATTTACCTGGGGACAGGGTTCAGAGGGGTTGGGAAGAAGGGTGGAAAGGAAGCAGAACCACAGGGAGGAAGTGAGATAACTGTTGTTCCATGGAGAATTGTAACCATTGAGATGAAACAAAGTGCACGATTTGTTGGATGTTAAAACAGACGATCTGCTAGATAAACCTTCACTCAATTCACAAGAAAAAGCTTCAAAAGAAAGAGGACACCTACTGTATGATCTCACTTATATGAAATATCTTTAATATGCATAGAGACCAATGTTTATCAATAGTTGTCAGTGGTGGGTGGGAAAAGAATGTGGAAAAGGATAAAGGTGATAGTGGAAAAATAGAATGGATTAACACCACTGAGCTATATTCATGGAGATTGTTGAAATATCAAGTATTTTGTTTCATATTTGAGAGGACATCAAAAAGTTTTTGGAAAAATGGAATTAAAAGATAATGGAATTTTTCCATGAAGCTCCCTTGTTTACTTACCAAAATATTATTTATACCTGTTAAAACAACAAATGTATATAGTGAAATGAGGAAAGGCAATAAAGTTGGGACAATCTTGAGATATAAACATTCTTCTGTATTTCTTTAAATCAGCAGTTCAAACTCACGAGTTACTCCTTAGAAACCCTATACAGCAGAGGTGGGAAATGTCCCACCTGTGGACCGAAACCATCTGGTCTAGCCCTGCCAAGGCAACCGCCGGTCTAGTCATCACATTATAGCAGGCTAAGGTCAAAACCATTTGGTCTAGCCTTGCCAAGGCAACCACCGGTCTACTCATCACATTATAGCAGGCTAAGGCCGAAACCATTTGGTCTAGCTCTTCCAAAGTAACCACAGGTCTAGCCATCACATTGCAGCAGGCTAATTTTTAAGTTGATAATTTTGTATGTCCTGTGAATGATGTTATAAATATCCAAATGGTCCTTGGCAGAAAAAAGGTTCCCTACCACTGCTACACAAGGAGCTCTGGTAGCATAGTGGGTACGAATCGGGCTGCAAACCACAAGGTCAGCAGTTTGAAACTACCAGCTGTTCCGCAGGAGAAAGATGAGGCTTTCTGCTCCAGTAAAGATTTACAGCCTCAGAAACTCTGTACAGGGTCACTATGAGTCAAACTGACTCCATGGCACACAACAACCCCTGTTACACAGGACTGCTATGAGTCAGAAGTGGCTTGATGTCACTTAACAACAGCAACAATGTATTTCTTTGGAAAGTTCATATGAAACTTAAAATTCAGGGAGATGAATCAAAAATAACGGAAGTCAGTCCAAATAACCTTAGAGAAATTTCTGACACCATAAGATTATTTTAACTGAATTTTTAAAGCCCACACAAGGAATTTTGGATGACTGTCACATTTTCACATTTTCTTCAACACATACTGCCTTAAATATCAAATTCGGGAAAAATGTGTCTCAGTGGTGGTTGTGTGCCGTGGAGTCGGGTCCATCTCGTAAAGACCCTGCAAAGGGTTTGTTGTTGTTGAGTGCCTTTGAGTCGATTCTGACCCATAGTGACCCTGTATAGGGTTTCCTAGGAGAAGCTAGTGAGCTTGAACCACTGACCTTGCAGTTCAAACGACTTTGCAGTCTGACGCATTAGCCCACAGTGCCACACCAGGACTCCGAGGGTGTAAATCTTTGTTGTTGTTAAGTGCCGTAGTGTTGATCCCGACCCATAGCGACTCTGTATAGGGTTTCCGAGGAGCGGCTGGCTGGTGAGCTTCAACTGTCGACCTTGCAGTTCAAACGGCTTTGCAGTCTGTCACATTAACCCACAGCGCCACACCAGGAAACCCTGTGCAGGGTCACTATGAGTCGGAACTGACTCTATGGTACATAACAACAACAACAATTATCACTGTCACGTTCAGTAAATCTTTATGGGAGCAGAAAGCCTCATCTTTCTTCCATGAAACAGCTAGTAGTTTCGAACTGCTAACCTGTGCTTAGCAGCCCAACTTGTAACCATTATTGTACCAGAGCTCCTTAGGGTCTCAGTAGTAAATGCAAACGTCTAAGTGTTCTGAAATTCCATTTTAAATGGCTAGTTATATATTCTTTATAACATTTATCTAAGCTTAGCCAAAGAAGCAGTAAGGCATCTTTAGAGTGGATCCTAAGGTTCTGCAGACTTAGTGACATCATAATTTCAAATAATCAGTCTTGATAATCTAGGTCCCATGTTCTCCTTTAGCTCATTAGTAGATTCCCTGCCTCTCCCCATTGCATTTTCATATGATTTGTTTAACTTGACTTTCTCCTCTCCTTTATTTATACAGGAAAACAGTTTAATGAAATAGAATGGCTGGAAAAACACAAGGCAGGAGGCCTGGTTCCGGTTCAGAGGCTACCATTAAGCCAATGTGCCCTTGAGGCACTTGGCTTTTTGGGGTACCAGTTTTCTGAACTAGAAAATTAGCTTGAACCAGATGACTTGGAAGGTCCTGGAAGGTCACTTCTGGCCCAGTTTCCTTCATCATAGGAATGAATTCCTCCTAGACCTAGATACTCACACAAGCTTACCTGATTCAACACATTCTTTAACAAGCACAGCACAGTACGGGTTAACAGCCTCTCCTTGACATGGCTGGCAGGACCCACAGTCAAAGTTGGACAAACCAATTCGAAGAAATGGTGACATGGCTGCTCCCTGAAAAAAAGAGAGAAAACAACTGCTATTTGGAGGCTATAAGATATGTTATTTTTGCTGTCCTCTCCCCACGTAACCAATGCCATATCGACAACAGGCAGAGTTTCAAATGGCTCAGTTATCCATCTGAACAAATGCTCTTACTTCCCCTCTACAAAGCACATGATTGGACTCACCCAAAACCACAGACTTTCTTGCTGAGAAAAGAGGCTTTCTGGAGGTCTGTATTGAAGCTCATTAGTGAGTACCTAACTTAAGAGTTAATTCCATGTTTAAACTAATGGAATTACATTGAGTAGTTGCAGAAGGAGGCACATTTCCCCCAACATATATTTTTATGTCTTCTGTTGTTCAAGTAGGTGCTCAGGAAACAACACACAGTAATGAGAAAATGAGTTTAGGAAGAGTGAGCCTATTTTAGTCACACCAGTTAAATACGACACCGCAAAATTCTTGCATGGTCTATTTATGTGTGTAATGGAACTGGCTCTAGGCATTTAGCAGCTGATCCTTATTTACTTTAGACATTTTCAAAAAGGTCTGATTTTTTTCACAGTCATTTATATAGTAAAAAGCGTTAAGTCTTTGAACATCATGAACCACTTTACAAACCCTGAATCAATGACCACTGTAAAAGAGTGCTTATCATCTAAGGATAAACAAAGTATTTTATGAATGCCAACTAACGAATAATTTTGTTTCCCAAGAGATTAAGGTGAAAACTATCAGTGTTAGCTGAAATTCTAGGAGTCCCTGAGTGGCATTAAATGGTTAAGTCCTCAGTTACTAGTGGAAAGTTAATGGTTCAAATCCTACCCAGAAAAGTCTCAGGAGAAGGGCCTGATGATCTAGTTCCAAAAGATTACAGCCATGGAAAACTCTACTCTGAAGCACATGGGGTCACCATGAGTTAGAATTTGCTGGATGGCAACTGATTTGGTCTGATTCTCCATCTGTCTTTCCTTACCTTCGTTTATTGTGGCCACTTGCCTCAAGTAAACATCTTTCCTTTTTACCCACACTTATCCAATTAGTTTTTGACTGTCATCCGATATCCACTGAAAAGTTGTTTCCCTGCTTCCTCTTTCTTCTTCAACTATATCCTCCTCATGAGTTTATAGCGTTTTCCCAATTTTTCTTAGGAAAACCAAAGGATAACAAGAACAAAACATTAGTCATCTTTTCTACCTTTGTGTACATGAAGATTAATAAACCACAAAAAACAAACCAGGTGCCATCAATTCGATTCTGACTTACAACAGCCTCATGTGTGCAGAATAGAACTGTGTGACCTTTCAGAAGCAGATTGCCAAGCCATTTCTTTTGAGTCACCTCTGGGGGGATGGGTCTTGAAACTCAAACAGTTCAGTTAGTAGCTGGAATAAACCTTTTGCATCATCCATAGATACTTCTTCAGAGTAATAACAGAAACCCATAACTAGAAATCTTGAACCTGTAACATCTAAGCCAGTAAAGCCAGGAGAGATGGCCAGCTTTCTGGAAAGACAGTCCTCTTCTGGTCATTTTTGAATCTATGTTACTGTTTTTAGGTGCCGTGGACTCAGTTCAGACTCATAGCAATCCTGTGTGCAAGAGAACGAAAACATTGCCTTGTGCTGCAAGATCCTCAGAGAGAGACAAATTACCAGCTCTTGACAGGTATAGTTAATTTCATGGCTATTGAAAAAGATCTAATTGCCTGCAGCGTTTGGACAGTGTGACTAAAGGAGATGGTGAGGTAAGCATCATGATTTGTTGGCTGTTCTTGTTCTTGGCTTTCAAACACCTTAACCTTTACTGTTAAGTTGGCAACCAGACGACTTCCAGATTTATCTTTAAAGGGCCCCTTCACCCTCTGAAATGAGATCTGGTGGCACTGTGGGTTAAGCATCAGGCTGCTAGCCTCAAGGTCAGCAGTTCAAGCCCACCAGCCACTCCAAGGGAGAGAATGAGGCTCTCTGCCCCGACAAAGATTTACAATCTTGGAACTACTCTCTCTTACCGGCTTTTCCATGAGTTGGGATAAACTTGACAGCAGTGGGGTTGGTTCTTTTTTGGTTTTCACCCTCTGGAGGATTCTCTATGTGGCACAAATGGTTTGTGCACTCAGCTACTAACTGAAAAGTTGAGAGTTAGAGTCCACCCAGAGAAGCTTGGAAGGACCTGGCAATCTATAAAATCGGCCATTGAAATCCCCGTGGAGCACAGTTCACATGGGTATCCTCAGACAGTCAAGACGTTGCCATGAATTGGAGTTGAGTCAAGGACAACTGGTACTGGTTTTTGCCCTCTAAACTCAGAATTCTTGAGCAGGAGTCAGTTATATGCGGAAAGTTCTTCCGAAAGAACACCTTTGACATCTCTGTACTGGTTCAGCTAGTGCTTTCTCCACTCACTGGTAAAAATCGCCAAGCACTATCCATAGTTGTGTACTTAACCATGTGTGGACTTTTTAACGTTTATTTATTCAGAAGATTTCATTAATATAAATAAGGGCAACTAATCCCATATGATTTAAGTGCCAGGTATCATTGACTTATAAAGTCTGAGTTCAATTATTCTGACTTTTAGTGACAGTGTCTCTGCTATTTCCAGGCTGGGTTAGTAATCAGGCAATGGCAGCTCCACAGGGACCTGAGAAAATCTGCCCACGGAACAGACAGAAACTTGTACGGTCATCAGAGTTTCTATCATAGTACACTGGCTCCTCACTTATCAACTACCTCATGGATGACAAAAACACAAGATCTACTATCCAACTGTTTTGTGCATTAAGTTGGGTTTCCTCCCTAGGTCCAGTTTCTGGCCTGCAGAGTCTCCCAGTCTTTCAGACTCAAAGCTAAAGCAGCCAGCTTTCCAGCTGGTCCTATCTCCACCACTGGAACTGCTGCTGCAGCTCTTCAGAGAAAAAGAGATGACTGCTGCAGATCTTGAGGGAAACCTTCTGAGAAGGGCTCGTGAGAGACCCAAGAGGACAGGGGAGGCTACTATTGCTCCCCTCTTCTCAAGCATCCTAGAGGGAACAAGTCCTGTAGCAAAAAGAGTAGTTGTTGTTCCATGCCATCAAGTCAGTTCCAACTCATCCAGACTCTGGAGAAGGTTTCCTATGTGCGGTTGGTGGATTTGAAATTCCAACCTTTTGCTTAGCAGTCCAGTGTCTATCCTACAGCACAGGAAGGGTACTGTGGGAGAGGATATAATTCAGGACCTGGGGACTACAGCAGAATCTGGTTGCCCCATTTTCCTCTGGCTTGGGCTTCAGACTCCTCTTTAGACAGCTGTTAGTCACAGGCTCCTGGCCTTGGATTCTAAACCTTCCATGACCAACAATGCAATGTTCATATATGCAAGCTCCTCCTTGGCCTGCAAAGTGATAGCTGCAGAGAGGGAGGCTGCAGGGAGCATGGGTACTGGCAGAAATCCTCACCAACCATCCTGACCTAAGCCGCTTGCCTGAGCCCCAGAGCCACCAACTGTGGCTCTCGTCCAGTTGCCTGGCCCCAGGTCTACTAGAATGCCAGTCTCAATATCAGGACCTTGGGACCCAAGAGCACAACAGCTCCAAGGATTAGAGTACTATGCTATAGGGTGGAATCCTGGTGTGGCACTGTGGGTTAATGCACTCAACTGTAAAGTCAGGTTAAACTGCAAAGTCGGCAGTTCAAGCATACTAGCTGCTCCTTGGAAACCCTATCTATACAAGGTCGTTATGGGTCAGAACGGACTTAATAGCACTTAACAACAAAAATATGCTGTATGGTAAGCCCTGAACTGCTAACTGCAAGGTCAGTGGTTTAAAACCACCACTCACTTCTTGGGAGCCATATATAGTGTCTCTAAGTTGCAACTTAACAACAACAAAAACAATATGATAAGCTCAAATGATATTACTCTTTTTTTATGAAATATGAAAAAAATTGCATATTAGGAAGGAGATATTATTTTTATGTTTTTACACATTAAATGGAAATAATAAAACACAACAAGTAGAGCTCTAACAGGAAATACCTGTGGCAAATGCAACAGGCAGTGAGTTAATACTATTGCTATATAACAGACGTACACAAATTTGCATGAAAAACACCACGACTAAAATAAGTTAGTGGCAGTGATATATACTATTCAAAATACAAAAATCACAGCTGTAACTAGTTGTATGGGGAAATTTTCACCCAGGAGAAATCCAGAAATGCAAAATAAGCCAACCTACTATGTAATTACACTTATATGATATGTTTGAAAAGACAAAACTATAGTGATGGAGAACAAATCCGTGGTCACCAGGGACTGGGTAGTGGAGCATATGGCTAGAGAGGAAAAGCATGAGCAAGCTTTTTTGGGAGCAGGAACTGCTCTCTAGCTCAACTGTGGTGATGGTTACACAAAGCTAGACTTGTTTTCAAACTCATGAAACTGTACACCAAAAACAAAAGTCACTATTACTGTAGGATAATTAAAACGTCTCCCCCCAAAAAAACTATGAATATTCCATTGGCACTTCAAGGCATGGATTATAATTCCAGAGGGCATAAACATAAAATACCAAGAACATACACTAGAAAACTGGGAATTCATGTAATAAATTAACATTTATATTTAAACTGATTTATATTATATGAAGCAATCAGGAATAGCCTCCATTTCCTAAAGGGAAATGGTCAGGCCCTTAAAAAACAAAACAATCCCAAGCTTTAACACTATAATATTTCAGGTTTTTTGAAAATTTGAATTTAGGTGAAAACAGTTGACAAAAGGAACAATTAGAAATTGATAATACATTTCTTTCTATAATGAATTAATGTTCAACTCTTTATTTAAACTATAATAATTAAAGGAATTAAATACTTAAAAAAAAACAAAAAACTTTAACCTGTGAAATTAGCAAATATTTTTTTGAAATGCTCTTACCAGAGGCTGGCAAAGATAATATAAGAAATACACTATTAGCCAATGTTGTTAGATTGGAACATAAATATTTCCACAATCATTTTGAATATAC